TAAATATATGATTTACGTTGTAGGATATGTGTCGAGGTTTAAAGTGGTGTGTTGCCAGAGCAAGAGATCTTTTGTTGTCCGTTAGAAATTTAATTTGACATCGTCACAGCGAAAGAACCGGGTCCCAGTCATTCTTTTTTTCCAAAGATTTAGGCGGTGATATGGGTGCTTAATTGGCCCTTTTGGGGTCATGGTGCTTGTGTTCTTGAGCAGGAAACTTCACCACAACTCTAGGTTTGCTGCCTAAGAACACTAGAGTTTGAATGGCACTGTAGAAATCTCAAAGTGGTTATTACACTGATCCCATCACTTAATGAATAGGATAATACATGTACACGTACAGTTGTGAAGCAGTAAGTGCATTGATTTTGATGCAAGACTTACATGTACATTTTTTCACAAGTGGTATTGTCAGAGAGTTACAAATGCCATATGTAACAGCAAAAGCTAGGCAGTGTTTATACGATACATCATGTGCATTTTTGTACTTTTTCTGTCTCCTGCTGGACGATAGCTGAAGTTGTGCCCTACATGTAACTTCCGGTTCCATGGTTCCATGTAAACAGCGATCAATGCATGTAACTCTATGTGCAGTGCTTGTGCAGTGGGCGTGGTTTAAACTGAAGTGACGTCACACGTACAGACTGTATAGCAGCCTTCCTGATATTTGTGCATGTGACACCATTACATGTATTTACTCCACCCGTACATGCTGTGCTTGTAAATGGTTACATGCAAGTCACCTGTACATTTACATGTGTTTTTATCCAGCATGTACATCTAGGACCAATTATTGTCAAATATCCAAACCCTGAACTCCTGCTGTCTTCACAGCTTCGGATCTCGCGGTATAGGCATGCCAGTTCATGTTTGTCTGCATACATGTAGCTTACATGCTGTAGTGAAGTCGCCCTTGGAAATATATTGCACATGAAGGTTGAACACACTCCAACAAGGAGAGCTCATCACTTTCGTGTAGACTACCGGCATATGTTGTTGATGCACGTCAACATAATGCATCATGTATTTGGATGCTGACATGTACATGTAATTTAATGAGTTGGCGATCAGTATGCTCTTGAGGAACTTGAAACAACAACGTCGGAACTTTTATGGTTTAAAATGCAGCAGACCGTATCCTTGTTGAAAATAAACAGGCAAAACATGTTGTATCCAAAGAGAGGGTGAAAGCGTACAGGCTGGAGGCAGTTCGTAAGAAAACATCCACAAAAATGATCCATGTAGATCAGGCAAAACGTGTCGAAGAGAACATTGTGTAGCAATAAGACAGGATTGGAATTGTCACAGAACCGATCCAAATAGGATTGAAATGGTGTACAGCACACCAGAAAATGGCCAGAAAGCAGGAATACATATGTAGTAGGATTGAAACAGGTGAATGTAATTTTTTAAGAGTCTCAACTGGAGAACAGCAGGATTGAAACCAGGCCTCAGATTTGTATGACCAATGAACTGTATTTTCTTGGGGAAAAAAAAATTTACAACTGTGATATTTTTCTGTAGCACAGAAACAGAGTCAAGAAACAGGTTTTACATGTACAGGCATAGATTTACGTGTATTTCATACATGCATAGAAATTAACGGGGTAATTAAATTAAATTAAATAATTTAAAAAAATTTAATAAATTCTGCAAAGAACAGTCAATATTTTGCAGGTAATTTTTTTTTTCAGTGAAATTAAATATTTTTTTTATATGTCCATTTAAGATACAGGTTTATCTTCATTTCTCTCCCGTTTATTCATCATAAAGCTTATTTTTCTTTTCTGAAAGTGAACAGATCTTACATATTTTATTTCTGACCATAAGCAGCCCTAACATCCCTAACCTTGGCCGGATGTCATTATTTTTCGTCTTTCTTTGTGTTGTTTCTTTTTACATCTGGTCCAATTTTTTTTTCTCATCTCCAGGACAACCCTTTTTGTTCATTTGTCAGACCCTTCCCAACACCTGAGCTCCAGAAACGTGGATAATGAATTGAAAGGAAATTGAATTTTCACTCCAGCTGCGTTACAAATTGATGAAATGTTAAAGTGGCAGGTGTATATGTCCATGCACAATGTGATGTGGGAGTTTGGTTGCCCTGTAAAGTTCAGGTACAAGCAAACGGCCAACTAGGAGACCTGCTTTGGGATTTGTTTTATAAAGAGAAATTTGAGTTTTGATGAATTTGAGATAAAATGTTCATGTCATGTGATAATTGACGCATTGTCAAGTTGGGTTGAGCTCTCAAATGGCAAACTAGGACACCCGCTTTAGGATTTGTTTAAAGAGAAATTTGAGTTTTGATGAATTTGAGATAAAATGTTTTTGTCATGTGATAATGGACGCATTGTCAAGTCAAGTTAGGTTAAACTCTCAAAGAATCCTACAGTGCCATTGCCGAGCCTGTCCCGACATAATAATATTAATTTTATTCCATAAGATTTATGGAATTTGCGCATATTAAATACATGTGTAAATGATAACTTATTATTATTGTTATTATTTGGGAAAGAAATACATACATGTATTATGTCATCGTTAGCTGTTAGCAGCCTTGGAAATTTGCAGGTTTTCTGAGTACAACCCCTCTGCAGGGTGTTTCGTGGATTCCCTTCATTCCACAGTCTCGTTCCTGCTCCTGTCATGTTGGTCCCAGAAGAAAAAGAGATCAATTTTGTACCATCTAGTGCCTTCCGTACCTCCTCTGCCACCGACTTTGTACGTACAGTGAAGGAAATCAGAGGTGACCATGCATGATGCACTTTTGAGCACTCATGAACTCAGAGCGGTTAACACGGCCACTTGCCGTGTTTCCTGACCACAGGCTAATGTCCGGCTACCCTCGTTGGCCTGATCATCACGCGACAAGTCACCGAGTATACTGTCACGAAGCGGCGTCCCTTCTTTTTTGTATTGATTGACTGGCTATTTATAGAGGAGTCCTGGGGTTCCGGAGTAGAAAGGAAAAAAGAGGCTGCAGGATCGTTTTGTGTGGGACTCCCTCCGTGGGTTAGGCAAGGATGGTCAAATGTTCAGAAATGCTTTTTGTTATTGACGAGTGGAGTTTTGTTGGAATTTCAGGAGTGGAGTTTGTTCTTTAAGAAATATGTTCACTGCTAGTCTTTATCTCAAAGACTACCAGAGCTTGAAATTTTGTGCAAAAGCAATGCATCTACGCTGAAATACCCCATGGTTCAAAAGATGTAAAGAGCTCTAACATTAAGTTATCACACGTACATGCACATGTACGTGTATCTGTACATGATTTGCTCTTATTTCCACTTTCTTACTGTCTTCAACTGTACCTTAAAGATCTTGTGTCCTGACAACGGACAGAGCATACTGTCCAAAACATTGAGTACACTCCGGTTCTTTTCACAACCACAGATACTCATCAAAGCTATATCTTTGCATGGTCCCACTCCAGACCTCTTCCACTTAGTTACTACCTTTACCATGAAAACTTTAAAGCTCGTGTTTATCTTTCTAAGCAGCAATTTATTTTTTTTTCCAAAATTGTTCAAGTGAAGCAGAAGAAAATCTTGCGATTCAAGATTTTCTGTGACATTTAGGAATGCATGCATGCTGTCTCTACATGTACATGGACATGTGTGTACAGTAAAAAGCTGTTTGGTCAAACATTTGATTTTTACCTCGATAAAAAAGGAAAAATCAGATTCAATATTCCATACTGTCGTACCGCAGACATTTTTCTGATTATGGGAATTCTCAGTGGTCCACTCATCGAAATATTTCAGTCAATATGTTTAACAAATGTACTCGCAATGCACTGGTCAAATAATGTCCCTCGATGGTGGTTTACGGTACTGTGCATGTGAAGCAATCACGGATCTGTCACACAGGGTTACATGATACACGTTGAAAGTCTCCCTAGCTTGAAAGATGGTGGCATGGGTGAATGTTAGGCCATTTTCCCAATACTCAACTCTGTCGCCGTCTCGGGCTTTGTCTCCAAAAATCAGTCCCCGATTGTAGGCCTGAAATATTCAAATTAACTTTAAGTTACTTCAATTTTTTTGGGGGGGGGGCTCCATTGCATTTTATTTGATGTTCCTGGGGCATTGTCGGACTTACTATCAAGCTAACAACGTCAAAGTCAGGTGTGAAATGAAATACTTGTGCCCTCAGAGGAAACCTGAGATGGAGATGGAGTTGAGTTTTGGAAACCAGCCTGAGGACATGGGCTCGATAGTGCGATATTTATCAAGCATGGTAAAACAGGCATAATACAGCTAATTTCTCAGCAGTGAAAGTTGATAAAACTAGTTCTCTGGCTTTGCCTTAGGAGCTGCAGTAGGTTGTCAACTTCCAGTACCTCAGGGACCTGATCTTGGCTATCCACCCTAAGTCCATGTATACTAATCTACCCACCAGCATTCAGAATGGTTTGATGTACCGACCCATCACTCAAGCAAGAATAAACCAACAACTGTCTTAGTACAGCATCCTGCCGCACCGTCCAGTTTGAAATCACGCACTCGGAAAATTTTAATCTCGGCTCGTCGATCGACTGCGGTCAAAATGAGGTGGTTTTCTTCGCCCGCGGATTTTTGCCGTGGCTCTCAGGCATGGCTGAATGAGCTGATCTCAGTATGCAGCTTGCACTCTCGTGATCAGCCAAGGAGCTAAGTCATCTGCAAGAAGCGTCCTATTAAAGAGGCACACCAGAGCAACAGCTGAAGTTAAAGGGGCTGTCCACTTGGGTACTTCAGGCACAAGTAGCACGTCCTCACTTGGGCAAAGAAAAGAGAGGCCAGGCTGACATTCCCATGCAGCACCGGTATGTCCAGGGTGCCCTGGCAGAGGCCAGTAAAATTACCTGTGACTCAATCTAACAAAATGAGGCACAAGTTGCCAGAGCCACATTTGATTTTGAGGCCTTTGAAAAACCTGGCATAAATTAATGTAAATCAGCCGGAACACTCTGCATTTTCATCTGCATAATGTCCATATTCATCGGGGTGCAACAAATTGACACTTGTACATATACATTTGTATATGTACTTCAAAACAAAGAGCTCTGTTTATTTCCTTTTCCGCTCAGAGTCGAAGTCCACCCTCACCAGCGAAAGACAGTCTGGCACAAAGTTTTCCAACTGGGTTTTTGCACGCGGTTGGCGTGCATGCAAAGACCATACATGTACATTCCAGAATAAATTGTTCTGCGTACTCAGCACACTCCGGGTTAAACTCGCATAAACTTGTGCACCAAAGGACTGTAATTGCCATTGATTAACACGCCCTCTTTTCTTCCCGCTCTGCTAGAGCAGATTACAAATCAAAGAAAAAAAATGGAAAATTGCCTTAATAAGACTCCTTTGGGGGAACAAGTCATATTTGAGTATGCATGCAGCTCTGTTCGCTAACAAGTGCCCCATGCAGTGTGTTTAAAGGACACTTCTGCGTACAGAGGGGGTAACGTTAGGGTTCCTGTGATAGCTGAAGATCCTAAGATCTCCTGGGAAAAAAGTTGGCCTGATAAGTAAGTCATGGATAATGCTACATGTACGGTATAATATTACTTATCACAGGAGCGCGATTGGAACATGAAATAACATTGTGCGTCTGTATCCCGTATGCCACAAGGCCGAAGGCGCACTACATTATTCCTTGTTCCACAAGCACGAGTGTGATAACGAACTTATCTTCAAGCAAACTTGACTCCCAGAAAAGAAAGTAAAGGGGCCTATGTGCGCTTTATATAAAGAAAGAAGACCAAAGATATATGTATCATACAGCACACAGCCAAAACAGTAACGAGGACATACCACAACTATGCAATTACATGTATATTGAGGGATATGGGAATTATTTGTGGTTTAACTTATTTCAATAACAACAATAACAACAGGACTTGCACTAAGAAATTAAGTTGTTAGATTTGTACGTGCATTTAAACACGTGATGATCAGCACGGGCAAACACGCCTCTCTTGAATTTACAGTCCTGCAGATGTGTGCTTGCTTTTAGCATGAAAATAGCACAATGCGTTGAGTTTAATAGAACAGCATGTGCGTCGATTACGCAGGGTTTGATATGAACCATGCAGTGCGGTTCTTTATCACACTGTTTGTTGTCATGGATTGACCAATCAGAACTGAGATTTAAAGTTTGCCTGAAGATAGTATTATTAATTGTGACTAGCATGATAGGTTAATGGCCATGCCAGTATATAAAAAAAAATTAAAAAGAATTCTTCATTAGAAACCTAAAAAGACGTCAGACATGACATCCACTTCAATACACCTGTTACCAGCATATTAATCCAGACAGATGTGCAGGATATGGTTGTAGGAAATGTCAGAGTTATTAACTGGCAGCCTGTAAAGCTCCCAAGCAAGCTGTCATCATGTGGTTTGGAGCAGCAAGGAAGTGCAGGCAGGCAACCTGTGTTGATGAGAATAATAACCAGACCTCGTCAGACATTTATAAACACAAGGGTTCTCACATTACCTGTGGATTGAGTATGGAAATCGGTTTTGAGTCTGGGCATTGAAATAAAACTGTACATTTACTGTACATACAGTTAATTTTAAAATTCGGAATATCCTAAGTTTAATACCGTTGTGAACAGAACACAAGAAGTGGGTATGTTAAGGGGTGCCTTCAGGTGCCTTCAGGTAAGCACAAATGTATACACGTACCATAGACCCTATACACTCTTGTGGGACCCTCAAAACTTCTGGTGGTTACTTCATGGATTTTCAATTTTCCACCAATTTGTAGCTGCCCTGCAAGATACAAATGTACATATTGTAGTATACTTTCTGTACGCAGTGTTGTCTGAGATCCTTTGAACAAATGAACAAGCTGGACTACAGGTGTACACTTGAACCGCCGACTTCCTACTTTCTTGTGCAGATACATGTCTCTTGATTACCATTTGCCCACCAAGCTACGGTCCTGGACAAATCTCATCGGACCTCCAGCACCCAGACCCCCTTCCAATGTTCAGTCTGTGCGCGTGGTCTGCGCTCCGGCTGGACATGACAACATCGACCGGGGCGTGGGGGGCTGGAGGAGCGTTATGGCTTTTGCCAGGTGTCCCAACAACGTTTGTCCAGGATTGTACAATGTAGCTGGGGTCGGCCAGCTGGCTTGAGTCAGGTGGTACCACAAGGTAGGGTTTCTTTGACCATCTCACAGTGGGGGGAGGGGATCTTTGCCCCCCCACCCTAGAACTCAACCGTCAAATTCCCAATCTTCTTGAAACTTGGCATGCATGATAAGACACTCAGCATAAGTACAGTTCTCCAGTTTCAATTTAATCTGCCAAACAGTTTATTTTCACTTCAGGGCCGTTAGGCGTTACTGTTAATTTTAAGTTTCACTTAGTATCCTGATGAAAGTAGACATTATATGAACGAGACAACTGATTTCCTACTGATTTCCACTGGTCTAGGATTCATTGAATAGGCCTTGCATTTGACAGTGTTGACAGTCTTGCGACATGAAACAGATTTTGCTAGGTTCTGTCACAAAAGAAGCTTCATTTTTCAGGTTATTTTTTTTGTTGAGTATCACAGTTTACCTCTACGTTTTTTTTATTTTCTGAACACTCAAGTATTCTGTTCTTGGTTCAGCCTAAGAGCTTACATGTACATGTACATATACAATGAATGCTTTAAAATTTACCTACCGGTAGTTAATTTGTAAGAGACAACTCGATCACCGTCCCTCAATTTACTTGCCTTTAAAAATTTAAAAGCGTGCATATTATATGGCCATTGTCATTTGTATGGGCTCCAACGCTGTTCATAAATTATGCATTTTTCAATTCTCTTGTACCGGTACATTGGTTGGATATTTTGCAAGTGAAGCATTTGGGCTGTGTACATGAGATGTTAATGCTCAAGCAGAGGTTTATTGTGCTTGAGAGTGAAACGTCACTTCATCCACCGGTAGCTTGCTTTAAATGGCCTTGGCAGACAAATTGACTTTTTTCATTCCTAATATCATTTTAAGTCTATTTTACTAATGTTTTCCCATTTAAAACTCTGATTTGCCGCTTAGCTTCCACCAATCTTGCCATCGTCAACTGATTATACACCAGCATCATTGACTTTGTTGAAGTGTGTTTTCAAAGGCTTTTTTCAAACTCATTTTGAATCTCAGTTGCACTAATGGCAACAATGAAACCTTTACATTTTGTTGTAAAGACATGTCAAGGGCTTTTCCCTCAAACAGCTTAGCTAAAAGGCTTTGACAACAGTCCTACCCGGTCCGTGACTGCGCTCTACAGTTCTTTAATTCCAGCGATGGATGCCTGCATCACCGTGCAGAATTAAAGGTGATTTTTACAATTACCGGTACATGGGTCTGTTTACGGCAGAACAACAAAGTGGCGTCAGCGCGGAAACGACAAAATGATTTCTTGACCCATGGCGGACACTCACCTGTGAGTGATGTCATCTGTGAGTCACAAGATGTCACTGGGACAGTGATGGGATACTCATGAGTATTCTGTTTTGGCTAGTGCACTCAGAAAACGGACTCGTATCATGTAATCAAACCGTGTGCATGCATGTAGATTGGTCTACATGCCTTAACAAATAACACAGCAGAAAAGACACAAAATCCACTTGAAAATGTAGTTCAGGGACCAATCTGCTTGGCGCTGGAAAATCTTAGTGGATGGATTTCCAAGGTCTCGTTGCCCGAATCAAGTCATCAGTTGGGCATCCAGCAATTCTTTCCGACGACCTGTAAATCAATTAGAGACGTCAGAAATCAGAATGGAGTATAAAAGCCATGTTCTTCTTACAGGCATGTCTGTAGCTTTGATTGTGGAATTTATGCCCTGCCTACAATGTAAGTTGCACATCAGGCAGGGCAAAAAAAATCCAAAATTAAATTAGCATCCCCTGACGCAAGTCCCGTCCTTATGGCTTGTAACAAAAATTAAATATTTCCATTGCATGCATGTTAATGCATTTCAAACAAACACTGCGTCCTTGACTTTTAGAAGTTGAAGCGTTGGTTAAAAAAAAAAAATTTCTTAGGGCATGTGTACGTGTACATGCACTTACTGTACATATGGTTTCTTGCTGCCTGTATCGTTCGTACGGGGTGGTACCATCAAGAAAAACACAGGGAAGATCAAGACCTAATGAGGCAATATCGAAAACTTTAGATGGGGGATATGACAATGTTTCCAATTTGATTTTGAAAAATCCATTTATAAGAGTTGACATCTGAATCTGACCTTCAAATATACCAAATTCCCACAAAAGCAGACCGAAGACACATGTTCGGTACCACTTTTGTCAAAAAGTAAGATATTGAAATCTTGAAGAAAAATATAGAGCCATGAAATATGCTTACAGAAATAAATTTTGGGACCAGATAATTGGACTTGGCTTTTTTATCACAGATTTTCATCTCTGGGACCAGATAATTGGACTTGGCTTTTTTATCACAGATTTTCATCTCTGTATATTTGATTTTGAAAATAACTACTTGAATATTCAAAACTTGTTTGAATATCTAATTATCCGAAAGATCAGCACCCCCTTGAAAGATCCCATAGACCGAGTCTCTGGGCCTTTTCTCCTTTTTTTTATTTATATGTTAGTAAATCTGTTTCACTTGACATCAGAAAGTGGCATTTCCATAATAAGCCACTTAATTGTGAGTTACATTTGAATAAAATCTGGAACACTGTGTTATCTGATGGCACAGAAAAGTAACAATTTGAATTCCCCCGACAAAAGACACTGCTGCTATACCGCGTGAATCGGGCAAGCTTTTGCACAGCGACCACCATCTCTAGAATAGACTGGTTTCTTTGTGCCCTTCTTATCCATTGAGAACAGGTTGCAAGGCGTCTCTTATGTAACTAAGCAAAAGCTTGCCCCGAATCCTGAGGTATAGCAACAGTGGTTTTAGTATGGAGAATTCAAGTTGATGTGTTCAGGTGAAGTGAAAGAATTCAGTGTGCCAGATTTTATTCAAATTTAACTCGCAAATGGCTTTTTGCAATGAGTGCCTGCAATCAGAGCTGTTTATGGAGAGAACACATGTAGTGCCCACTCCGGACCATGGAACCAAAATGGCAGTCCATTTGTTTGACAGTACAGGATACAGCTACTGCGTGCTAATTGTCAATGTGCCCTGTCGCGTAATCCACCATTTTGGTTCCAACAACTGAAACACTCATGTTGCACTGTCTCTGTACTGCCTGGGACTGGCCCAGAAACTCGGAGCTTTCTCGTATCTGAGGGCCTGTTTGTAATGTGTGGATCCAGATCGTGCAGTGATCTGTCGTTGGTTCACTGACTCAAGAACCCACCCAACGGATTGCGTGAATCAGCTTTGGGATCACTGATCATGAGCCAGATCTGCGTGAAACAAACAGGCCCCAAGTTCTTTGCGGTGTGATTGTACAGTATAAATCCCCCCCCCTTTTTTGTCATGAGCAAGTTTGCCAAGAAGTGTGATCAATCCCACCTCTCTGGTTTAGTGATGCGGCAATTTCTTTTTCCCTTTTCCATCCACCCTACTCGTTCAGGTCCCATTAGAGCTTGTAACGACATGCATGCAATCCATTTGCAGTGTACACATCACATCCGACAGCTACTCATCTTGAACAAGCCCCCCCCCCTCATATTGCTGGTGCCGACAGGATGCATTGTCCCCCGTCATTTCTCTAAGAATCGGACATTTGAGAAATGACAAGAAGGTACAAGCAGGCAAAGCACGTACGTTTGTAGAAGAGAACCTTGGACACTCAATTTGCCGACTGACAAGCACTGAAAGATACCGGTACTGCGGATTGTAGACCATAGGTGATAAATAACCTACACATTTCCTCAGCAGTGATGTACACACACGTACTTACCCAAACGTGTTGAAGTGGTTTCTTCCCACCATAGTCACATGAGGAGGCTAAAGAGCTCTCGGAAACTTGTTCTTGAATGGTCCGTTATCTCAAGTTACTCAGTATTGCATATGAGCACTCATTTTTGGCGGAATGACCTTGAATTTATTCAACATTGGCAGTAGAGCGTGTACATGTGTAGGGAACAATGCGTATACAGTATGTACAGTACATGTATATGTACTTGATTGTAAAAAAAAGAAATAATTTTGGTATTTACATTCAGAGAACCTCTCTCCAGTATTAGAATTGCTAACATTTTGTGTTAATTGAGGTTAAATTGAAAGCCATGGCTGCTTGCCTTAATTTGAACTTGAATTTCATTTTTATTTCCCCCTGTAACAGTAATTTTGAGGTTTTTTTTTTTCAAGGAAAACACTTTTTCATCCCCTTTCATTTCTTGTGTAATTTTCATTTCCCCAGGGGAGGGGGTAGCGAGGGCCCTCTTCCCCTCCCCGGGACGCCCTCACACCGACGTGTTGTTATAACGAATGTACACGTCTGTTGTGTTTCCGATCTCAGTGTTGAAGTGCGCAAACGGTCTCATTGCAAACACGCAAGGGTACATGTGCATAAACCTACTGGAAAATTCATTATTCCTCCCGTCTCGTATTTAATTCAACAGTCGGATGTCCCGACAGTTCCAAGTCCAAAAAGCAAATGTTTTGACTTGTGGTTTTGTTGCAACCTTCTTGATGCCCGCCCGCCTGCCTGCCTGCCCGCCTGCCTGCCTACGTGCGTGCCTGCCTACCTGCCCCAGTAGGAATTTGCAATGCATTAGAAAGGTTTGGTAAACAGGATGAAAATTGAGCCTTTTTGAAGGTATAGTGCTTGCTTGCCATGCACAGACTGATCATTTTACGAAATCAATCTTACTCAAAAAAGGCCAAGTGCACATGAAAAACGATCACCATCACGTTCTCCGGTTGCTGAGCATGCATGTTCTTTAAGTGACTCATTCAGTTTGTCATGAAGAAGTTCACACAGCTTGGGTTCAAATTTTTTCTAGCTCGAAGATTTATTTTTTTTCATTCAAGACTGCTCAATTGTGGAAGTGAATTTTTTTTTTTCTCTCTGGGAAGAAAGTTGATAGGGAAGGCGGTGATGCATATGAGCAGGTCGATCAAATTTGGCCACCAAGCGTAAATGAAAAGTCCTTTATAACATACACGCGGGAAAAAGGGTGGAGTACTCTGTGCACGAGCACGTTTCACTCGCATGTGTCGAGCATGGACTGCACCCACTGGCTACATCTATATGTACATGTGGATTGTAGTTATTGAGTGTTAATACGGGCAATTCCCCATAGTGCCCATCCAAGAGTTTGCAACGCATTGGCCAATCACAGTGCGCAAAATCTGTCGACCCTCTCCAAATGCACATTGGGTCAACAAATTTTGTGTATTTTGATTTGCCAATGCGTTGCAAACTCTTGGAGGTTGTCTGTTGTGAAACGCCCCCATTGCACTAGGCTTTCCGGTGAGGAAGCACCCCATGTTAATGTGTTTGTACAGGTTGCAGCTGGATACAGTACATCCATGGTCCTCTTCCACAATATCACCAAAACAGTTGATTCTAAACCAGTGTCTATTTGTCCTCATTGGAGCAGTTTTGCAGTCACCCTCTGCAGGGGCTGCTCCTGTAGCCATTAGGAGGTATAGAGTGTCCAAAAGTTACGGTTGTGGCTAGAAATAACACATGGTCCTATGGAAGCCACTTGTTTAGTGGCTGTGTTCACTTCTATAGATGTGCGTGTACGTAGCCACAGCCAGTTCATTCAGACACAGTTATGGTGAAGGTTGAGAGAAACATACATTGTAAATCCATAACCTGCCAGCTCCTATATGCAGCCAAACTCAATCCACATCCTCAGTGCAGTCAAACAATAAGCCTTTTGTGAGTTAAATTTGAATAAAATCTGGTACACTGAGTTCTCTGATCGCACATAAACATAATTTGAAGTCCCCAGACTAAAGACACTGTTACAGTACCTCATGATTCAGGGAGAGCTTTTGCATGGCGACCACCATCTCTGGAATGGACTGGTTCCTTTGTGCCTTTCTTATCCATTGAAAACAGTGTCTTGGTTGCAAGGTGTCTCTTACATAAACAAAAGTAAAAGGTTGCCCCAAGTCACAAGGCATATCAACGGTGTCTTTAGGGAAATGAGGCTTGTATAGATGTTAGTTTTTCCAACCACTGAATGCAGTGTCAGTCACACACTTATCACTGCCCGGGAATTCTGTAGAGAGCCGATGGCGTTGCAAAGCTTTCAGCAAACATTGGGACACTTTGAAATCACTCTGTTAAATTTAGGGCTCATGAATTCCCTTTTTTCTACTAGGTGTGAAGACTCGCACAATATTTTTTTCTAGGGGTTAATTATTCAGGTTATGCTATTTTTTGCACTGTGCATGTAACAAAAACAGAAAGCAAACAAACTCAAGTGCAAAAATCACCTAATCACAGTCACACAGTACAGCAGAGAACCACATTGCCTTATTAACTACCAGAAGCCCCAAAACATTGTTAATGCATGTAGTAATAAATGTCACAAGCCATCTCTTCAAAGGCTTTCCCATCATTTAACAACCTCACTGCTGACAAAAAGGGGAAAAAAAGAAAATGTCCGATCCCGGAATGGTTTAGAATTCTGCAGTCGTAAATTGTGGCCCGTATGTGTACAGTCGTCATTACCAGTATAAGATTAAACAGCCCTACTTAAATGAACGTTTTCGTTTAGTCGTTGTTACTTACGTGTACATGTAGACTGTGCTTTCTTGTGGATCTCTGGTGAAGTGTGTATGGAAAAGGTCTGGTTTGTGTGTTTTTATTTATTTTGTAGTGAATGGCACATTTCATTGTCGTGCTGACACGATGGAGTGTTTTCCTCGCTTTCACTAAATAGGAACTTCTCAATTCAAAGATCAAAGCATTTAAGTTTATAGACACTTAACCAACTCATGAGTAATTTGTAACATGATAAACTGGTCCATCTTCAACTCTTCCCACGTAGACGAGACGTGCCGAGTTAAATATTAAACCATAAATGCTTCACAGACTAATAGGGGTGGGGAAATTAAGCACGTTCTTGTGAACTCAACGGGTGGGCAAGGTCGCCATTACAGAACTGAAGTATATTCAGGGTTATCTCTGCTCTGAAATATTATATATATGTACATGTTTGTGTAACACAGTATCAACATTTATGTTTCTGAAAGAGTAGTTATCGGGAAGAAAGCATGATGTCAGACCAATTGTGCTTTGATGTCATCCAGTTTTTATTAATCAAATTTGGATGTTCATGGGCACCATGTGAATTATCTGGACATTTAAACTGAGTCATATTTAGCGTGAAATTAATTTACAGCGAGACTCGGTGATATTTTTTCTTCAGTTGTTTGCAGATAGTGAGGACGTTATATGTCATGAGCTTTACTTGTCTTTCTTATTTGCATCCTTTTTAATTCACATGTCTTTCAGGAAATTGACTCGAAAGTAAGGACTTAAATGTCTCATTGAGTCACATTGAAATTCACATTGGTTGGTTTATTACATTCACACATTTCAGGATAACATCAGGCCATAGACCATGAAGGGACTCGGTTAATACCTTTGGGTTTTAATAGGCTGATGAATTCTGTTTTAAGTACACACCCTGATCAAATGGAGACATATATGTACTGGTACACATGTATATGTGCATATTTGCACAAGCTGCAGGAGCCTGTCTGCATGGAATAGCTCCATTCTCCGTAATATTTTGGTGAAACCTACATCGACACAAGCAGTAGATATACAGAGTTCTGCAGTGCTACATGTACATTTACATGCATGTGATCTCACTAAACGCCAAGAGATATACTGCAGGGTTCGTGTTATATACCGGTGTACATTTGTGTGTATAAAGTCAGTGCTGCTTTCTCTATAGATGTGAGTTGAGTTCAGTGACACAAAACAGTCGCCAGATCACTGCGGCCTATTTTCATGGAGCTGCCCAGCTGAAGAAATCTATACAATTTATTTTGCAAAATGTATTGCCAAAAGCAGACCGTCAGCCTCATCTACATATGTATGGCAGAATTCGGGCCGGATGACCTGGAGGGCCGATTTCATAGTGCTGCCTCAGCACAAAATCTGCTTAAGCGAGAAAACCTTGTTTGATAAATCAGGTAACCAACCGAAATTCCATCTGATGTGCATGTATATTGTTTTGGGATCACATTCAGCTGTCTTTTGGTTAGCATGATAATCAGATAGAGTTGGAGCTGGTAACTTTTGTTTTTTTTAAGCAAGTTTTTGTCATGCTTATAAGCAAATTTCGTGCTTAAGCAGCCCTGTGAAATTGGCCCCAGGGTACGTATTTCCAGGATTAATCTAAGGCTTCTCTGCTGAGCTGTCCCAAGTTGTTCCGAGAGAAGTTTGTGATGTACTCGTTCATTCTGGTACAGGTGTATGAAGTATGAATAATGACACATCCCGACTGACTTCTCTCTGGGACTACTGCTATTTACCGATGCATTTCCGGGTAGCTGCAGGTCATATTCCTCTTTACCATTTCTCCTTCGATTCTTTTCAAAATGTCACCTCGTAAGACCCGCGGGTTACGACACAGTATGATTAATACCTGGAGGGATTGATTTCTCGGCTGCAGCCTCAAGATTGATATCTTCGCGGGGGGCTTTGGGTCTCCGCATTGTTAAATTTTAATTGTTATTCCCTTGATGAATTGAAGCCAATTTCAGAACCCAGCTGCAGCACGTTGACATCGTGACGAAACATTAATGTCATCTGAGTGAAAAAAATCAATATTTCCTCTCTGAGTTTCTGAAACCCACAATCTTGTCATTTTCTTCCAACCCCGATGATATCTATTGATCCACACAGGAATGAAATGTCATGTTACCCTTTCCTACTGAGTAAATTATTTCCTCTTCTTTGACTTACCAAGATTGCCAGGGACACGGGCGAAAACTAATTGATGTCTTCGTCGACAGGATTATTGTGTTGTCTGGGGATGCAGACAATATTGGTGATGAATTGTGGCGAGGTAATTATAGTATGCCCTGTACTTTCTCCACAGTGCTCGTGAGTTGTCTCAAATGTCTTGAGGCCTTTTCACACTTGGTCTCTTCCGGCTGCTGTTGATTCAGACCCGTGTTCCTCACCATGGGTCCTTGTTTTCTTGGGTGCTGATGGGGGGGGAGGTGTCCAAGCAGTGACCTCTGATGCTGCGGTTTGTTGCGATCAAGCACGTTCTCTTGGATAGGCCAGGGGGAGATTTTCAGCACAAATCGAGTTGAGAATTTGGCCAAAGTTGAGTCGGCTCTTGTCTTAAAGTAAAACACTTTCTTTCCTGGTGAGAATTACATGTACGGTACCTGGTATACATGTATGTTACAAGGTTAAAATCACATTGACTGGTGTGGAGTGAAATTTAAAAGTATTTTCATAAAAATCTTCATCAGATATTTGCATTCTCAGAAGAAAATGTTAAAGGAACACTCTTTTCAGACTGCTGAAGGAATTCTACAGGAAGGCTTTCTTAGAGATTTGAATAACTGTGTAAGCCTTTCTTAAGAAAAAAATAAACACTGCAATATTGTTTACATTTATTAACTACCAGTAGATAGTTTGCTTGTTTTTGGTTCAAGACGTTTTTATTTTCCGAACCCAGCCTTTTTATTGGTTCCATTCTTTCCATAGAAAAAATATTTTTTGCTTTCCTTCAACAAGCTTGTGATTTTTGTTCCCATGTTTGCCATTAAAGAAGAAAAAACTTCTCACCTCTTCCGTATCTGTTGTTGTTGTTGTTCTAGAACCATTCCTGAATGAACTTCATGAAGGACATAATAAATACCCTGCCATAGCTAATTGCCTCTTGGGTATACACTTCAACCAATCAATAAAATTGCGCCCCATAGAGACCTGCGCCCCAGAATACTAGACCTACATGACTGCAGAGCTGTATGAAAACCAACAACCCTCCATCCTTCCGTCAATCTTTGCCCACCACTTGAGAAAAATGTGGGCCAGTCCCTCAGGCCTCAATTTCAATTTGTGGAAATTGATGGCACGCAAGGGATGTACATGTGTGTCATATCAGCGGCTACTTACATGTAAAATATGGACTCTGTAGACATGTTGGAGGCAGCCAGGCTGGTCCATTTGTCTGACATTATCTGTTGATAATGGGTCTGTGATCACTTGATGATCAGCTTTGTGAGGGAATATATATATGCTCATATATCATGTCTATAAATTGTATACCTCATGTCCTGTACACAGGTACAATGTACTGTGTTAAGGCTGCTCCTTCAAAATGAGGCATAAGTTGCTGGGATTTGTATGATACATGTACATGTACATTATTACACTGTTCTCCTTCGTAGAATAGGGGGGTATTTTATTGTTTTGGAAATTTGCAGATTTCTCCATTTTTAAAAGGTTTTCCATCACAGGACTCTGAAAGCATTTTTCAAACATTGATTGATTGCCGTCATCAGTGCATCATTATCTGCTCCTTGAGAAGGGTCATGCACATGTATCCCCTTTACCGGGGATATTTATTGTCCATGTACTATACCATATCCGTATATGGTGAGGCTCCGGCAGCTATTTCTGCGGCACCGGAAGCTCACAGAATTATGAAAATATTTTCAGGGTTCCCACACTCAAAGAAAACCCTTGGGCCGAAAAAAAACAAAGTCGTCTGGGAAATAGGCACTAAAAATAAGGAAAAAAATTAGGTGCCCTGGAATCCTGTCATCAGAGGAAAAAAAGTGATGGACGGTCACGGAAATCAAGCTCATGCAAGCGTTATTTTTGACAGGCTATATACTTGATTTGATAATGGAATGATAGATTTTCAGGCTGTCCTTGCCATTCTAGCCAATTCATAATACTCATTAACGTTTCTCTGCAAAATGGCATTAACCCACTTCCTGCCGGGGCAGTTATCCATGTTGATGATGCTGCGCTGGGCCGGAATATTTATCATTTTTTTCTGTTCTCAAAATTCTTTTAAAAATCCTATCTTCATTTACTGGACACTTGCAAACACATGAAGGACTGTGTGGTGTCTACTCTAGCCTGACAGACAAAATCTATCGACGCCTGAGTATTTCAGCCAGGCCTGCAGCCTTGTAAAAAGAGCCCAGATTGTGCGGTCTTATATAACTTTCTTTTGTTCACGAACCTGGCTCAGTGCGCCCCTGACCGCTTTACAAAAGGGGCCAGATCAGCATGCAGCGGTGCTGTTCGGCTCATCGCTGCAGTGGTGGAGCGCTTTTGTCCCTGGTGGTAATCCGCTAAATGCCCAAACCATGGTATACTGTTTCAAAACAAGGCTGGATTATCTCCACTTTTGAGAGTGAAAAAAGGCCGGTAATTCCCAACAGCCTGGTCTTTTGTTCCGAGTACGGTCTTTTGTTACATGTCCGGATCCGGAATCACCAGCAGGAAGTGGTTAAATGGCATGAAAATGTATCATTTTAGTCCCGGAGAGTCCTGGAAAAGTCACGAAATTAAGTTTTTGGATTTCTTTGGGAACCCTGTTATTTTAGTGCTCAAATCAGAGTTCCAGCTGCACAAGTACATGTACCCTGAATCCTGAGCCAAACTTTACAATGAAACAAGGACAACTGAATAAAAGCAAGAGGGTGTGAAAGTGGACAGCTACCCTGTTAATTTTTTAGACTAATGAAGCTACAGAAAACCTTGCTTTAAATGCACATAGCACATGTACATAGCACATGTACATGTACATTGTGCATGTACATGAACAAGGTAGACAGCCCTTTTCACTACCGCCAACTTGATGATATTCATGTCAACTCATCTGATGCACTGCATCACTGAAGTGTCTCCAAAGCCTTGTATATTCCTAGACCTGAGTTGTTTTGATACATCTTTGCTTTTTCAGATATTGTGTGTAGTTTTTCAGCCCAAAAGTAATACCATCTTCACTGTAAACGAAATTAGTCATTTTGACCAATAAAAGTTGGTCCAGCTTATGTCTAAAATGACTGATTTAAATTAGACAGGCTAATGACTAACATTTATTTGTCAAAGATAAGTCAAATATTAGTCAAAGTTGACTAAAGTCAGTCACTGTTGAAGTTATTCCTGTCTTAATTTAACAAGTCATCAAGACCTGACTTACATGTACATGTACCCATGTTGGTCATTTTGAGCACAAAATCACTGCCTTTTCTTTACAGTGTTCCAGTTATTACATGTACGTTGCGAGCAGTGAATTGCGGTTGAGGAATTTGTGTCGACCTAAGATACTTGTTACTCGGGACTCATCAAGAATTTAACTTTGAACTTGTCTTGGCCTTGATTACATGTACTACACTGCTTGCCATTGGCTGGTGCTCTAATTGTCCTTTGATTGCCCAGTTGCAAACTTCAACTTGGTGCCTGGAAGCATAAGCGCAGGTCCCAGACTATTCAAGACATCGATGAGCATATCACGAGTGTTTTAATAACGTTACTGTACTCATCAAGGCTTACTTGTCATTTCTCCCTCTCTCCGCCCTCAGCCTCTGACTGCCTGGCGTTCATGCAGGCCGGCTGTGAGCTGATTAAGGTCCGTTCCCCCTCCAGGCAATACCACCGAATCTTCTCTTTGAGCGAGGAGCTCTCGGAGATCAGATGGCACCCAACATCCAAGAAGCCAGACAAGGCCAGGAGTAAGTCTAGTACTCGGAGGCAATAATCTCCATCCACAGCAATCTAATTCAGCTTGGTGGTCTATTCCTTGACTCCATTTAGTGTGCGTGTAATGTAGGCTACTAAACGTTGCAATTGAGAGTTGACCTGGGAGTGGGAAATACTTTTGACACTTTTCTCTTCCCTGGGAATTCATTTTCATTTCAAAAATATGAAAACAATTTCCCACAGTGGGAAGACATTTTTGCGTCTTTTCACACACAAGCGGGAAAATTTTCTTCGCGCATTTTCACAGATATAGGAAAAATGTTCACGCTCTGTGAAATGCAGATTTGTGTGTGTGGGCGAGTTTGTTTCTGCATTCAATTGGGGACCCTGAACAATAGAGGACAATAAGGTCCCCGATTGACAGAGGGTCCCCGATTGACAGAGGGTCCCTGATTGACAACTGTGTACAAAACATATGGGTGGTCTTCTAAAAAAGTTAAAGTACAAACAAAAGAGGAACAATAGAGGGTCCCCAGTTGCAGGCAAATACACACTTGAGAATATGTATGGAAATTCTTTTGACAAAACCAGTATTTCCCATTGTCAGTCGCAGTGTTCAAAACTTTCAATAGAGGGTTTGCTTGGCTGCCACCTTGCAGGCCAGGGCTTTTGTTCCACAGGGCCTTCACAAAGGGGGTATATAATGGAGAAAAATAACTGCCCTGCAAGATGGCTACCATGCAAAGCCTCTACTCAAGAGCTTTTTCGTTAGTTGCAGTGCTATTATCTTGCAGAAAAGGTCTGACATTCTGTCACTGTCAAGACTGCAGGGTCCACACTCTGAGCAAACGCAAATGCAATTTGGAGGCGTCAGATCAAACCTTTGCACTGCAAATTCTCCAAATTGAACAGATTTCGCCGTGAACGTCTCAATCCTGATGTCAGAGTTGGTTATTGTTAACATTCACCTGAAGTATGAATGGGCCTCTCTTGGGCCTAGAGCAAGACAATTTACTGATTTATGTTTCCGTCTTTTAAGACACCCTGAAGGACTTAAATACATGTACTTCCAGTGGTCATATCCCTGCATTCGTACGTGTGCTTGTATGTCCACCTGTTTGCAATACTTGCCCGGTATCAGTCATTGTGGAAAGGAATGCTTCCCAAAGGCACTACTGCAATATCTGTAGCGGTGTCCCTGAGCAGGGCACCAACTGATTTTGTCACTGTTGCGGTACTTACATGTACATGTATCTCATACAGTGTGGTTCTCTACTATAAAGAGCAGAATTAAGGTTTAAGTACCGTACTTACTACATGAACATTACATGTAGAACATGTAATTCTGGGAATGCTTTTGCATGTACATGTAGGGTAAATATTTTGGGTTTGAGACCTAGCCAAGATCATTTAAACCTTGTCCTTGATGAAAAGGGCAGTTATACTAGTTATTGATGCATTCTTACAATCTGTATATGTGTCATACATGTACATACCCGGTACATGTACATGTTCATTAAGCCACTGAAACATGTATGTGTACATGTAGAAAGCTGCAGGTTCAAATCCCATGTACGTGATTTTGGCACTAAAGTACCTCAGTAGCCATGGTGGCATTGCTCATTGGAAGAATTACCTTCTCTGTGAGCAGTAATGTTTCATCAACGTTTCCCCTTGTCTGCAAAAGTGAGATATTGAAACAAATCTCTGGCCTGATCCCCCCCCCCGAAAAAATTCCTTTGATCCACCCCATGGTAGTCTAATTATTCTTTTGTACTGTATATGTATTGTAGTCGCCATAGAATCAATCAAAGAGGTCCGGGTTGGCAAGAACACGGAGACGTTTCGCAATCGCGAGTCCACCGCCGAGTTTCCAGAAGAGTGCGCCTTCTCCATCATCTTCGGCGACAACTACGAGACGCTGGACCTGGTGGCCAACTCCCCGGACGAAGCCAACATCTGGGTGACTGGGCTGAGCTACCTGGTGGGAGGGAACAAGAGTAGATGTAGGTCACTCGGCAAGCATGCGCATGCCTCACTCATTGACGATATATTTTCTGTTGTCACAGATGTGTTCAACTATTGCTATTGGTCGAGAGCCTGACATGTGACCAGGCTTAAATAGTTGGCAAAACAGCAGCAAGCTGTGCATGCAGTAAGTGTTATGCGCACACCAATCTCCATTTAAGGAGACTGTTTGAGACTACTTGTGAGAGAAACATACCAAAGCATAACTGAGGGGTGTTTTAAAAAGTGAAGTAGCGTTGTTGAACAAAATCGTTGCAAATCTGTTACTTTTAGTTCTGATTTTTCTGACTCAACATTTATTTATGAAAGGGAATAAATACATGTACATGTATTTGTTTGGCCAGTCTTAAATTCAGCCAAGCACACATATATTCCGTGATTATAGATGCGCAATATTTCTTTTTCCATTTATTTTCAAAGCTTAATCGGTACTAACATTATGATATTACTCCCTGTTCTATACTCTGAGCCACGACAATCCCATGAAGTGCTTTATTCTTTAAATATTCCACTTTTAAATTTACACTTTTTTGCAGCACCTGAAGCAATAGAAAAGAAACAGGACATGAGAGACAGATATCCTTTGCTGTAGTTTTCAATTGTAAATTGTGGTAAAAATTTGTTTGTCTTTTTTAACGAGGGACGCATTTCAGCAAAGGGGGATGAAAAGATAAACTTTTGATGTGACTTGTGGTGCAATCGTGATTGAGGTGCGACTGCTCTATGACCGATTTGAAATTGTCTTGTGATCAGCGAGTTTACAACTCCAAAGCTATTTGACCCTTAACCCTTGACCTTATCTCAACACGTGGCTGCAAGAGATGTTTGAGAAGGCCGCGGGGACCGAGGTGGGTCAGCTGGACGAATTTGAGGTCATGCAGCTGATGAAAAAACTCAACAACGGCGTGACATCAATGAGGGTCCGCCAGAAATTTAAGGTGGGTACTCGGATGAAATTTCTGAGGACATCCATGGGATGTTTCAACTGCTATGCGTTTTCATTACATGTCCATGGTGTGCCACAGATTCAGTTTTCCATATTTGAAATTATTCATGCACATGTAGAATGAGCCATTTACGGGAGTATGTTGTAAAAGATCATTTATTTTTTCCCATCAATCCCACGTCCAAATTGACTTCCAGATAGGAGACATGAAATATGAGGAAAACAGATGAACAAAATTAACAACCCCCCTCCCCCAAACCAACCTGTTGCCACTCCAGAGTACTCCTTTTCCTGGTACAGGAGGCATCACAATACCAAGGCCCTGATCAAGTTTGCCTCTCAGTTTGTGTCCTGAATTGAAGCTCTCAATCTAGAATCATTTGTTGCGTTTCCGGATGCATTAGAGTTCCCCCATGGTCATGGAAAATCTTGAATAATCAGGGGAAGAAAGTTGTGACAAAGTTATTTGAAAAAAATTGGGAAAAATACCGTGTCTCGGAATCCTGTTGTCAGAGAAAAAAAAACATGTAAAAGTCATAGAAATCTGGTCTTACAAGAGTTATTTTGGATGGGTCGTTTGACCGTGGAATAATGATAAATTTAAAGGGGCTTTCCTTCTCAGTCTTTAGCAATGGCTGTGACAGATTTCCAGTTCATAGAACTTGTACCAAACACCTTTTTGATGCAAAAAAGTATTAAAAGTCATGAGAATTGTCAAATTTCAGTCTTGGAAATGTCCTGGAAAAATTATGGAATTTGGTTTTCCAGATTTCTGTGGGAAGTCTGTCCATTCATGGCCAGTTACCTACAAAAGTATACACTTAGATTTTCACATTAACATGCGCTTGGCATCTGTTTATTAAATCCTGCCTCATGGAGATGGAAATACAACTTCCACCTTGCCCATGTTTTGTCTTCGTCAGGAAATGACGCTGTCCAAGGTTCGCGACGGAGCCTCCAAACCCACACTGACCAGCTACGAATTTGTGGACCTCTTCAAAGAGATGACAACGAGACCAGAGATATACTTTCTCTTAGTCAGGTTAGTTTACAAGTTGGTCTCTTGGCCACAAGACAGTTGAATGGAGGGTATCGATAATTACAATAACTCAGCTTCATAATATGACGGCATCCACCAGAATGGGCCTCAAGGCTTAATAGAATCAAAACAAGACTGAAAATATAAAACCAGAAATAACTACAAAATACTGTAACGAGAGCTGTAAACAGGGCAAATTCATTTTCAGGGCACCTTTAAGTTCACAGACCAAAGAGAGAACAATTTATGAAAGACAGGTTTGTTCCAAAGATGAGGGCCTGGATGGGAAAAACGATCGATCTCTTCAGGACTTGCGAGTCTGGGAAAGACTCGGAAAGATCTCGGAAGATCTCAAGTATCTTGGCGGATCGCACAGGGTTGATAAACTCAGGTTGTACTGAGGAGGGGAATCATACAGGTAATGAGAAATGAACGAGAAGTGTAAAGATGATCTGTATGTCATGCTTGCCTTAAAACCAAAGGCAGAGCAGCGTGTGTGTAATGGACAAGGTAGCAAACAAATGTTCTTGCTGACTGAAGACTGTGAGATACCGGCTGCTTAGAACAGCGCAACACATGATGAACTGCAGATCGCAGTGTATGAGACAACAGAAAGCGATGTGTAATAACTGAGTCCTGTCCATATCAGTATGCTGTTTGGACAGCGTTCCTTCATTTAAAGTCTCCAATGAACTTGAATTACCGGAGCTTTACTTGGTAGGCCTACATGGCACACTTCAAAATGTTTTTAAAAAATACTACATTAGAGGTTAGTGCATTCATGAAGAAGGTTGTATGACCACCAGCATAGAAATGTGATAATCTCAAGGCACTGCATGGTACAAAGACAGAGATAGGTGCGTGTGAGGCATTCCAGGAATAAAAAGGAGAGAACTGGTCAGAGGTGGAAATAAGGGTTTACTGGCTTAGGAAAAACAGAATTGAAGTTCCCTCACAGAACGGTTCAATGCACTCTACGCGGACATTCCATTGACAGGTTATGACAGTCAAAGTTTACATGTATCCTCATCCCCCCCAAAAAAATGAAATCCGCAAGAAAGGCATCTCAAATTCTGAGTTTTGTATCCATCAAATGAATGATGCTCAGGACTGTTTGTTTAAAAAAATGCAGGAAATTCTTAATTCTGCATGTACATTATTTCTTTAAAACTACATGTATGGTTTATGGACTTATCGATTACAAATCAACAAATCCCAAAATCAAGGAAAAGAAATCATGCAATTTATATTTTCTCCCCTTTAGGCGGAGCTGAGTTTCATCTCATTTTGCCACAGTGCCTCACAACACAGTAGACATTTGTGTTTGCTCAATGCCAATGGCATTAACTCTCTTCCACTCTTGTACGGGTATTTTCCAGAAATTAGGGCTCTTTTTTTTTTTTTTTTCGTGTTCCAGTCACATCTGACATGATTTTTGCAAGTTACACATTTTCTAATTTCCAAGAGCGATGAATTAATGCAAATTAGCTGCCAAACACACAGTAATAGTTTGTAATCAATTCCGGGGACATTTCCATGTCAAATAACAAAGGTCAGATGTAACAGGGACACAAAGATGTCACACTTTTGGACCCCTAATTTCTGGAATTACCCGTATCCTGCGGGAAGACAAGAGATCTGACCTCAAGTCATAATATGTGAGGACAAGCAACGTCCTCAGAGATCCCCAAGTCACGTTTGCTACCTTGTACATGTACCTCTCACTCACAAAGGTTCCATGCACTTTGCCAGTGAAAATGTATCCGAGTCAGTTGAATGGCATTAATTACCAAAGCATCTATACATGTACATGTATACATGTAGCTCCCTAAGTAATTTGATCACCAATAGACTCATTGAGATACATTGACAGCTGTAACCCTATACTATTCTCATCAGGTATTCCAGCTCCGAAGTTATGACGATAGACGACCTTCTAATATTCTTGGAGGCGGAGCAAGGGGTTCGTAAACAATTTTTAAATGTCCGACTTGCGTTATAGCGGGATACCCCCAGGACAGATTTAGCACCAAATGAAACCCACAGATGGAGTGCTCGTATTTTGATGGTAATTTTGAAGTACATTTTGAATTTGAACCGCATGCGAAATGGTGCCCTGTGGGGGCGCCTGTCGAAGGTATAATGCATACCAAGCTTCCATTACACGTCTTTTAGAGGTTCATGGTTCCATAGGGTTTATAGATGCGGTCATGTGTTGTTTGTTCTGATGTTGGGGGTGATGATGTTAGTGTTGTGTTTGTTGGTTGATGTTTGTTGATCTTTTTATGCTTTTTATATTTTTTGGTTTTGGTATTTTTTGGGGGGGGCTTCCATATTTCTTGTACATGTACCTCAAACAGAATGTGTGAAGTCAGGTAAATGTACATGTATATTGTGAAGCTATGAAATGCAAAACAATGTATAGATACCCACTGTAGGATGATTTAGTTGGTAACCAGATTTTGCTGCATGAAAGAATATGCAAAGCAAAGTGGTACGCCTAGGGAATAACCCTTAATTTACATACGGTAGCTTTGAGCATTTCCCCCTTTTCTTTAATCTGCCCATCTGGCATGATGCACTTCATTAAAAATGAAATTAAAAGTGGTTTTGTAGGAATAGCGTATGATGAAACAGCTTACTGTCAGTTGGTCATGCTCCGAGAATTCCAGCTGGTCACATTGCACTTACGGTAGTTCCATCTGCCAACTCATGAGACCCTCGTACGGGGCCTCTGCACTCTAAAATTAATATTGGGCATGCAGGTTTAGTTTAAATGAATTGTGTACATAACGTCTTGTCAGCCTGCGGGTTCTAATTTTGTGTGGGAAGGGGGAGTTGGGTCATGCCTTGCATGCAAGATGTTGGTGTTTGAATGTTGCGTTTGTTTTTTTTTTTTATGGAGTGGAATTTTCCAAGCATGTTGAGCTGAGAACCGGCAAAGACATGCAAGGGAACTTGGTCAAGGGTATCACTGGAAGGTTTTTAAATGAGAAAAATGCACTCGCGTGGAAATAATCCGCATTAAATGCGGAAGCCAGGGATAACATTTCACATTATGTTCTCCGTGAGAGCACATCGGAAGTACAAGCGTAGATGTCTTGAATGAGATGAATGAATGAATGAGGCTTCCTTGGGGAGGGATAATTTGGAGGGGAATTTTTTCTTTCTTTTCTTTTCCTTTCTTTCTACGCACATACTAGTTCCTTTTCCTCTGCAAGTGGGCTGTTGAAGAAACTGGAATCCCTGAAACCAGTTTCAACCACCTTTATGCTTGAGGTGGTGGAACTTTTGAAAATGAGGTCACAAAACTAACAGGTTCACATCCATGAAGCTGTATACAAATCACAAGCGAAAATTGAAAAGCGGGATGTGGATGCATCTGCCGCCCCTGCTGAAAATCGGTCACAGGAAGTATGCGTGTACATGCACTTGCACATGTGTTCACTGTATGTTTATTTCAAATCATGTTAGCTTTGAATGTGACTTTGCTTAGCAAATAATTTTTGTGCTCGAGAATTAGATTTCTCTTGTCCTTATAGTACATGTCTTGGGTGTGAGAATTCAGCTTTGGGGCTGATTTCAGCTTTTTTTGATCGGACGTTTACCCTGAATTTCGGCTATTTTGTACACCTGGTTTGTGCAAAAGTATTGGAACTTTTCACATCTCAGTTGTTTGCTACGGTAGCTGTTTTCAGCTTTCATTTTAAGTGGCCACTCACACCCCTGACAGGTACAAGTTAAATTGATGTGATCAGGCCAAGGTTTGCTTTGCCATATATGTGTTTTCATCCATACATGTACCTCATTAATGCCTACATTTTAATGCAGTTCAGTCATTCTTATTGTTTGAGAGGTCATCATGGGCCTGGTCTTTACCGGTTGATGAAGCACTGGTTGGCAGTGTGCCACCTCACGTTCATGTAGTACTCGCATATCAATTTCCGTGTATAGGAGATTGTTACTGGCCAGAGGAGCATACCATAACTTAGGCAGAGGGGTGTTTGAAGAGAAAATGTGATAAAACTGCTGGGAAAAAAAGTTAAACTTACATGTACTTGTTTTTACTTTGCGACTCAAAAGGCACATGTATTTACCACTTGGCTGGTCTCATGTAATCAATTGTTCAGATCAGCTTTGGAAAATGGATACCAACAATGTCCCTCTCCCTCGACTCAGTCATTATCAGCCTCCATTCTGATGTCTGATCTGTTCTTTAAGCAAAGACCAGCCAGGCACCTACATGTAGTTATTCCGTTATTTCAGCAGATTAGCCAATCAAATAAAAGATTGTTTAAGTACAGAAGATCCTTGGTATCTGCTTACTTCTCAAATTGTCATTAATCTCCGATCTTGAAAAGCAAGTAATCACAAACTGGTATGGGCAATTCTCCCCCTCACGGGAAATTTGTCTTTCCCGAGCTTATTATTATTTTTTGTAATTTGCGCACGAAAAAAGATGAACTTCAAAGAATGAACCATGAAATACACGTAGTTGGTTCGTGTATAGTCTCGTTGCCTTTTAATATCTCTGTCATTTTGGTGCAGTATTCCCTTTCATTTAAAAATTCCAAAGAACATTGAGATCAGTAATGGCGTGATGAACTTCTGCTTTCGTGTGGAATTTCTCATCAGCACGTTTGTTGAGCATCTTCTTGAGATTGGTCTGCGATCGGTGGAATAGGGCACAGTGGTTGTCACGATCCAGTTCTTGTTAATCTTGGATGCTTCCTGAGGTATACTGATCCACCCACACTGTGCCTTCCTCATTAATGGACCCTCCAGTTCTACCAGTGTCTGATGGGGTATTTGTTTGGTTGTTTACTCACTGCGCAGATGGCAGGCGTGTCGAGGGAGAAATGTCAAGCCATCATCAACAAATACGAGCCGTCTGCCGAAGGCCGGGAGAAAGGCCATCTGGGAATAGACGGTGGGTCACTAATTTGTATACTTGAGACTCTAAGTTGTTTTTTTGTGTCTTCTCCAGAAGACGGACTAGATCTTTAGTGACTTGGAAGTTCAAACTTTGCATGTTGCAGGAGGAACTTTCAAACTACACCTGGATCCCTTTTTGCTTTCAACCTTGTCTGCATGATATTGGATCATTTGCATATTGAAAACCTTGTTATCATAATCAGATGCACTGACGGTTTGATGTAATGATACAGTGCAACAAAAGATCTTCCGTCTTTCTGAGTACACGGGGTCCTTGTGTACATGTACGCATGTGCTTGACCCTTTTAATGGTGTGACTTTACAACAGAAATACTTTCCAAAGTCTCAGACTGACTAAATTCAAAATGATTGCCGTACTCTTTTTTTATTTGGAAGAACAATGAGCATCCATTGTGTGCTGGAATAGGAGATAGGGTGATACACACAGCAACAACGTCCCCTTGGCTGTTCATGCAGTTGACTTGGACTGTACCTATCTTAGTTGACCATACTCTGTCGAGGGTGGATTCTGGGGGGTGGGATGGGAGTGTGTGACCGGCCTTCCTAAAATTGAGCCACAATTAATTTCTACAAGTAATGTCAGGACAGCAGTTTTTTTGGTCTGTTCATTTCCCTTCTCTCTAAAAAATGTAAAAAGCCCCAAAATGTTGCCCTACCCGTGAGAAAGGCCATTAAAGGTCTCATGAAAGTATTTCCGACTTTCATAGGCACCATGAAAGTTTCCACCCCCCCCCCAAAAAAAAACTTGGTTTTGGATCTGTCCATGTATTCTGCTGGGTGCACATGTGCGGTCTGTTAGTGTCACCGTAGGCCCGCACAGAACTTTCAACCCGAGTTGAAAAACTTCTCACCCAAACTAGTAACCTGTCTCCAGTCCAGTGAACATGAAGCAAAGAATGTATTCAGAAAAAGTAAATTCACCCGGTGTCTGTCTTTTTCTCTACTTCCCAGGCTTCACCAACTACCTTTTATCCGAGGACTGTGATATCTTTGACTCACAGCACAGGCATGTGTGTCAGGACATGACGCAACCTCTATCCCACTACTTCATAGCGTCATCGCACAATACGTAAGCATTTGAGTATAATTTGTATGATTTTGTACAGTAACTTTTTTTACTAAAAAGGAGCCATGAGCTAGGTCATTGTCTAATTATTGCTAGACCTGGAGCCAATTTCATAGCACTGCTTAAGCAAAAAAATTATTTGAGCGTGAAATAACCTAGCTTGACAAATCAGGTTACCAGCCAAAACTTCTTGTGATGTATATTGTTTTGGAATGGTATTTACCTGTCTTTTGGTTAGCATGACAATCACATAGAGTTTGAGCTGGCAACCTTTGTTTATTTATTTTTTTGCACTTAAACAAAGTCTGTGCTTAAGCAGCTCTATGAAATTGGCCCCTGGAATTTTATACTTTCATTGCCGAGTATTAAACTAGAACTGTAATGAATGTTCATTTGAATTCTACACATAAGTGTTCAAACGTAACATTATCCTATGCTTGATTTACAAATACCAGCACACGTACCCATGATGCATGCACTTTAAGCAAATTTCCTTACTAACCTGCTGACATACAATTATGCTAACCCCTGAAGCGTGCTAACCATTTGCACATTATTTTCGTTAATAGGCATGTTTTGCTAAAAAAAGGCTAGTTTACAGAACGCATAAAATAGGAGTGATTCATATGATGATGTACCCACAACATCTACTATTTCCCCCCAAAGTCATCTTTTTTATCTGGGAAGTTGATGTTGGTAACTATGCTGTGGTTTCATTACGGGCTACCGCTCTTTGAAGATAGCGAAATCCAGCACGGGGAGACTTTGAGACACTGGTGGCAGCAGACACACTGGTCCTTTTTAAAGGTATTGCATGTGCTCAGAACTACGCATTCATGCTCAGAACAATGTGTGCATGCTCAGACCAATGGGTGCATGCTCAGACCAATGCGTGCATGCTCAGAACTGGATAAAAAGGATCGGTATTTCTGTCGCCACCAAGCATCTAAAAGTCTTTCATTGAGGTCACTAGATATCATTTTTTTTTTTGAATGGTATTTACTAGAAGTCAAAAATAGGAGTGATTCACAATATGATGCACCCCCTACTTCCATTTCGGAAGTTGACATTGGTAGCTACATGTATGACAGTTTAATTACGGGGTGCAATTCTTTTATGATATTGAAATGCAACGATTGAGTTGATGGAAGTTGACAAATTGAAGAGATGTGTGTGCTAGCTGTCTTGCCATCTGATGTAATGACAAGAGCGAGGAATTTGCAAATTCATGTTTTGGAAATGTGGACAAGGAATCATAAGCTTGCAAGCGTGTTCTGCTGGTACAAGGCACAAAAGACAGTGAAGGAACCAACAAGTTACCACCAAATAAGACTTAAAGGTTTTCATGGTGAAAGAAACTAGCTTTATTGTAAAGATTGCGGTGACACCATGTATTTATCTCTTCTTTGAGTATGTGCGGTTC